AAAGAAAAAGAAAAAAAGAAACATATGATCGTGTTATCTTAGAAAGCAAAAAAATAACAAAAAATATATTCTTACTTAACTGCAGAGTCAGCGAAAAGCATAGTAAATTGATGAAAACGACAAGAGCAAGTTGAAGATCTTTCGGTTATACCATGAATGTTCACTTCTCTTTTCCATTTGACAGTCAAAATATTAGGCCCATGTCCCTCCCGCCATTTTTTTTTTTTTTATCTAAAACTCATATTAAACCACACATTTTATACGATCCACAACTTTAACAACTTTTTAACCACAAATTTCATCAATTTTTAGCAAAATCTACTAAAAATATCGTTTCAATCTAAACCAAATAAGGGATAAATGTAGTATATGATACAGTTTTCACTCATTGGCATCTTATCAAATGCAGATGATCTTTTTTAAAAATAAAAAATAAAAACTATCTAACCTACACATTACACTAGCATAGACCCACTTCATGTAATACAAAGAACCTGTGTTTCTATATATTCTATTTTCCCTTTGCTTTGAGAAGTGAATTAACAGAAATTTTCGAAGCTTCAGCTGCCAGAGTAACTCCTCATTGATCTAAAATCAATTTTTAACATAGAAAGCACAGACAAGCATCTCTGTTCTTCATTTCATCACAGAATAAATCAGTAAGCAGTTCATATTTTAACGTGGCCCTCCGACGTTGATTTGAACTTATCTAATTTCTTTCTTTGAAATTCTTGCACTTCATAAATAGCAACAAGCTAGACGTTCAATTAAATGGACAAAATAATAAAGCAAATAAGAAACAACACAGCTTTTACAAAAAACAAAAACGAATATCGATCTCACATTCAGAATAGCTGGCTTGGTGAACCGCGAAAACACTTCTCGAAATACAGATCGGCTAATATTTCAAGCAAAGAATATAAAAAAATCTATATTTTCAAATAATCCAGAAGGAGAAATAATATTCTATACAGTCACAGATCGATACCTCATAAAACTGTAGATTACAGCTGAGAAAAGTGAATCCGATTGAGGAAAACAAAGATAGCAGAATTTGCCGATCAACTAAAATTTCACTACATTTTTCATAAGAAGAAGGAAGCTTTTAGAATCTGGAATCTTGAAGAGAGCCGGCTGAGTGTGTGAGCAGAGCGAATGTGATGTATTTAATTTTTCCGCNCATCCCAAAACCAAGTCTTCAATTTTCCAAAATTCCTTTACAAATCAAACTTCCAATCCTTGATGAACTTTGATCCCCTTTTCAACCGGACTTCCAAACCAATAAGACTTTTGTTCCTTTTATCAATTAACGAACCCAATCGTACTAGGAATTTGAATCACACTCCAACAACGTGGTCGAAAAGAAGAGAGAGAAAAATAAATTTTAGAAATAATGGAGCCCAAACATGATGTTAATTAACACTATACTAATCCAATTAATTGCATGAAAGCTTAATGAACTCATAGGTAAGGGTACATTTAAACATCAAGGTCACATTTACCAATTTATTCATTCTCCAGATCACTTTAAAACCAAAAACTACTTGTATGGATGCATTTAACTATCAAGTAATATGAACCAATGATTCAATTCCATATCAATTTAAATACCAAATCTAAGAAGGAGCAAAAGATTGTAATCATTAGTAGGCATGTAAAAGTTTTAACACTATCTACCCTTATTTATCTCATTCAAACAAGCATGAAGAAAAAATCTCTATATTATGCAATAATTACAGAATTCCATCCATCTATTCAAATACATAGCCAACTCAAGAACTCTGGATATCTAATTACCTCTTCCATCCTCCACTGTCACAGCCTCCATCATCTTTCTCAAGTAAGAGATCAACTATTTTTCCTCCTTTTGCAGTTGCATCAGAATCAACCATCATCTTTCTCGTTCTTGCAAACTTATGATCCGACAAATAAGTTAAGCTCTGAGTTGCATTCAAACCTCTCCAGACACAGCTAAACTGCCTTAACTCATTATAGTTCTTCATGTGCCCCAAATGAAGGCTTGCAGACTTCAGAAAGCTGTTGCATAACATCTAATGGAACCAACTTGATCTCAATTTTTAAGTTTGATAAGACAGAAAAAAAAAAATTTGAGACGGAAAGAAAAAGAAAAAGAAAAAAAGAAACATATGATCGTGTTATCTTAGAAAGCAAAAAAATAACAAAAAATATATTCTTACTTAACTGCNAAAAACCATCATACAAATCCAATTAGGGGAGCACTGCTCACATCTTGATCTGCCACAAAGAAAATCTGGTATTGCGATTCAAAAGAATAATTTCAAACTTCATACTTGCCATCCTGAAATAATCTAACATTGCTTTAATACAAGACCAAACTGGCCCTCCCAAAAACTGTCGGAACCCTGGGCTTTGATACCACTTGCTATAAAACAAGCCAATTTGCAATAACCTGATAATAGAATTTATACTACTTGTTATGAATATTAAAGTTAAGAAAATATGACAAGATGAAAAGAATCACATAAGAACACAAGATTTAAAGTGAAAATCCAATTCCGGGAAATCCACTGGCAGAGACAAAGAATTCACTATAATCAATAGCAAAAAAGTGCAAAAGGATCTAGCAAAACTCAACCTATCTTTAAGTATGCGAGTCTCTCTCTTGGTAAACTAGATTCTCTCACTTTGATGTTCTCTCTATGCTATATAATGTTTTGCTATGTTATCTTAAATCGAAGTTATAAAGAGCCTAAACTATATGGAGTATATATAGGAACTTATTTAAGGTGTTTTGGGTGAAATACAATTCAAGAAACAGACTCAGAATCAAAAACAAACTCTGCCCAAATAACAATGCCCGCTCGAGCGGCATACAAGCGACGATTGCGGCGCTTGAGCACCGGGACGCTACTTCTTAGGCTAAATTCCACCATTTCTTCCCCCAAACCTAGCGCTTGGGCACTAGTTTGCTGTCCAACATCCCAAAACCAAGTCTTCAATTTTCCAAAATTCCTTTACAAATCAAACTTCCAATCCTTGATGAACTTTGATCCCCTTTTCNAGGAAGCTTTTAGAATCTGGAATCTTGAAGAGAGCCGGCTGAGTGTGTGAGCAGAGCGAATGTGATGTATTTAATTTTTCCGCGTAAATAAAAGGGAGTTTTGTAATATTAGACCAAAAAATATAAACATGCGAATAATAGCTTTTGAATAATAATTTTTGTAAAAATACCCCCTTAATGAGAAAATTGCAATCAAAGTCACTATAATGTATAAAAATATTTAATTAGGTCCTCAAAGAAATATAGATCAAAAATCTTTAATAAATTTGAACCCAAATATTATATAAAATTTTATTGATCTAAAAAACGCAATAGAAAATGAATTAAAATATTTAGAATAAAATCTGAAAGGTTTCTTTACAGAATATTTAGATCCAAAATTAAAAAATAAAAATGTTTCTATAGATAATCAATCAAAACAGAAAATGATATATAAAAATTAATTCTCAATCTAAGAAGAAGAATTAAAGAACTAAACATAATTATTGAAGAAAAAGTTTTAATAAAAAATAGTAAATTTTATAAATTCTATTGTGATATTTTAAATACATATGAAGATTTTAATTGGCTAAAAAATCTTAACCCCTCCGTTGCACACTTTGACGAATGGTATCAGAGTCATGTTACGAACCAAAAATTATGATGAATATAGTAGATGAAGAAAAAATAATTGAAGAATTTTTTAAAAAGGTTGAAAAACATAAAAAACCTAGTTATTCCTACTTACCTAAAAACACCACAAATGAAAGTTTTGAGGATATGCATAAAAGATTAGAAAATTTAGAACATAATCTACAAGTAGGAAATGCTCTTTTAAATAAAAATCTTAGAGGAAAAGATAGAATTATAATTAATCCACCTCAAGATTTTAGGATAACACAAAAGGAGAATAATAAAGGGAAAAATATGAAGAAAAACAATATATAATTATAGATGTACAAGAAATAGAACAAAAATTCTTAAAATCCACAGGTGAAGAGTATGAAGAATATAAAAAACAATTAGAAGAATTAACTGAAAAAATGAAAAATACAAAGATGAATACTAATCCATCTTCAAGTCAGAATATAAAAATAGAATTCAATAGTGATGAAAAACAAGATTATCCTTATGGTACCCCAATACCTAATAAGGATGGTGTTTACCAATATAGAAAAATACAAAAAAGATACACTTAAAATGTAAGAAAACAGTCTATAAAAGAAATAAATTCAATGAAATCTTATAATGAATCAATCCATACAACAGGAATATGGTTAGATCTAGACTGTGTAAATAAAAATAAAGCTATTGAAACACCGATGAAAAGTACAGATTTAGCAATACAATTTAATAAATGGAAAACGTATACAGCCTTTGAATTTATCGAACATACATTCAGAGGATTTGTTTTTGAATGGTGGAGAAAATTACCAGAAACTATTAAAGGAAGGATAAAGTATGGAGCAGGTAGAATTGAGGTATTAGATAACAGGAATACTTTAAATGAACAAAATATATAGGAGATATTAAAAAGATTTGAAAAAATTTTAAAAACGGAATTCTTAGGTGATAGGTATACTTCTAATGATGAAGAAAGAAAACAAGATGAATATAATCAAGGAATGATAGCAATAAAAAATTTAAAGATATGTGATATGTGTGAATTAGAAAGATATACTTGTAAATTTGAAAAAATATACCATATATTAAACCAAGGAAATTATCAAGAAAATAAATCTATATTAAGATCTTATTTTACGAAGTTACCATTCCCATGGGGAATTAAGTTATTAAAAGAATATGAAAAATTATTACCTCTAGGAGAAGAGGAAGGAATAAAAATAAATAGCCTTGAAATTAGAATTGAATTTACAAAAAAAAATGATAGACATATGGTGTAGAGAAGCACTAGAAAATAAAAAAGCATATAAAATAAGAAAGAATTCATTATGTTGTTACAAAAATATTGGCCAAGTTGAATAATTTGGGTGTCATAAGAAGAAATACAAATCATATAAGAAATATAAAAGAAAATTCAAAAACTATAAAAAAATTCAAGAAAAGAAATTTTAAACCACATAAAAAATATTTCAAGAAAAGAAATTTGAATAAAAAATTTAAGTCAAGAAATATTAAGAAATGTAGATATTTTATTTGTAATGAAGAATGACACATTGCCCCCCCAATATCCTAAAAAGAAATATAGACAGAATATAAAAACTCTTAAAATTTATGAAAAATTTCAAGATGATAGTGACATAGAACCAATTGAAGACTTTGAAGATCCAAGTAGTGAATGCAGTAGCATTTATGAATTAAATACATCCTCATCAGAAGAAGATTATGAGGAGATAGTATATATGAATCAGGAGATACAACAATCAGAAGTAGAAATAGAAACAACTGAAGAAGTTGAAGACTCTATAGAAAGTATAAATCAAGAAATTACATTTGATATTAAAAAATACACAGGAATCACTAAGAAAATATTATACTTACAAAAAAAAGATGTATTTCATCAAGAATTCTTAGGAATTTTACCAAGAGTAAATAAAACAATTGTAAGTATGAATTATAAAGAAATGTCTATCAATATAGAAGATACTATAGGAAAAGCAAGGATTCCTATAATTACAAAAGAATGGGTAAAACAAAAATTATCCAAAATCCCAAAAAATGTAAGAAATAAATTAAAATGTATTGAAATAGGAGGAGTCCAGATAATGGTAAAAGGATTCTTTAGAGAATGTATGAACATACCAATAGAAATATATTGTATGGACAATAGAATCTTACAAGATCCTATAGATACTCTATTAGGAACAATTGTAGGAAACTTAGTCTATCAAAAGATAATATTTACAGTAAAACCAAATTATGCAATATCATTAAATGATGAAAATATTGACCAAAGTCTCAATCTATACTATAGAATTGGAAACTTAAAAATGTTACGAAGAAGTAAGGCTGTTAGTATAAGCATAAAATCAATTTTTGCTTTTAGTACTAGCCATCATAACAATCTAAGAAAAATAACTGATAACATTATCATACATAAAGATTTTGAGGAATTAGCACAATATATACCTCCTAGGAAATACCAAGAACATGAAGTCACTATACCAAAACAAATAATGCTTGATTTCCATAAACAAGCTAAAGAAATTAATTTCGAAGGAAAATTAATAAGAAGAAACAGTGTCAGCTTAGAAGGAAATAATCTTATTGCAAGGTTTCCCTCTAGACAAGATTCTAGGATAAGCAGATTTAAGAATTTAAGTATTACTGAACCATCAAGTTCGCAATATTACATTAAGACAAGATATATAAATCAAGAAGGATACAAGAAGAATCTTCTTGTCCTCATAGATACTGGAGCAGATAAAAGTCATGTAAATGCTAAATTTGTTAGTCATTTAATAGACTTTGAAATACCAGAATCATATATATTTAAGGATTATTTAGGAAATAATCTTGAAATAAGAAAATATGTTAAGTTCCCTCATATACTTATAGGAGAGGATCAGAAAGAATATATTGAAGAAGTAATTCTATATAAAGATGAATTATATAGAGTAGATCGTTTACCTATTCTATTAGGAATGAACTTTTTTGAGAAATATGGCCCTTATAAAATCTGCCAAAGATATTTAAAGATAACAGTTGATGATAACCCAATCATCATATCAAGAATAGATGAAAATATGAAATCATTGTTATCATGGAAAGAGTAATAAGTACTAATCCCATGAATCCATATATTGAAATTACACTTAATATAAAAAGCTATTGTAGAATTAAATTTCATGCTTACTTAGATACAGGAAGTACAATAAGCTTATACTTACCAAATGTACTACCATCTGAATACTGGATATACAATTCTAAGAAGATAGTCACCGCTACAACAGCAGGTGGAAATAAGGTAATATATAGCAAATATGCTACGCAAGTACCTTTTCTAATTTCCTTTAGAGAAGTATTTGTCGACATAATATACATTTCAACCACAATTGGATGTGATATTTTATTAGGACAAAATTTTCTGTTAAAATATGCACCATTTACACAATATATTGATAAGTATAT